AATCTTTTCCCAACCCTTTACTCTGAGGTAATGCCTGTCTTTGAAGTTAGGGTGTGTTTCTTGTATACAGCAGAAGAATGGATTCCGTCTTCGTATCATTCTGTTAGCCTGTATCTTTTTATGCACAGGTTAAGACCATTGACATTGAGGGATATTAATATCCATTGATTGTTGGTTCTTGTTTGTTTTGGATTTATTTTTGGTGGTGTCATTGTGTGTGTATTTCGTCCTCCTGTTTCTTTTCGTGTTTGGTAAAATTGGATTATCTATTGCCTATTTTGTGAGTGTAGTTATCTTCATTGGGTTGGAGTTTTCCTTTCAGAACTTTCTGTAGTGCTTGATTTGTGGTTACGTATTGTTTAAATCTGGTTTTGTCATGGAATATCTTGTTTTCTCCATCTATAGTGATTGACAGTTTTACTGGGTACAGTAGCCTGGGTTAGTATCCATGCTCCCTTAGTGTTTGTAAGATATCTATCCAGGACCTTTAAGCTTTCAATGTTTCCATTAAGAAGTCTGGTGTGATTCTGATAGGTCTGCCTTTATATGTTACTTGGCCTTTTTCCTTTGCTGCCCTTAATATTTTCTCTTTATTTGTAGTTTTGGTGTTTTGATTATTATGTGGTGAGGGTACTTCTTTTTGTGGTCCAGTCTGTTTGGTGTTCTATAAGCTTCTTGTACTTTCATAGGCATATCCTTCTTTAGGTTGGGGAAATTTTCTTCTATGATTTTGTTGAATAAGTTTTCTGTACCTTTGAGCTGTATTTCTTCACCTTCTTCTATACCTATTAGTCTTAGGTTCGGCCTTTTCACGGTGTCCCATATTACCTGGGTATTTTGTGTTAGGTATTTGTTGGACTTGAGATTTTCTTTGGTCGATGACTATATATCCTATAGCGAGTCTTCAACAACTGAGATTCTCTCTTCTATCTCTTGGATTCTAATGGTTATACTCATATAACCAATTAGTTCCTGATTGTTTATCCAGCCTTTCTATTTCCAGCATCCCTCATTCTGTGTTTTCTATATTGTGTCTATTTCAGCTTTCATGCCTCGAACTGTTTTGAGTGTTTCCTTCACTTGTTTGGTTGTTTTTTCTTGGGTTTCTTTAGATTCTTTAAGAGATTTGTTTACTTCTTGAATTTTTTGTTTTGTCTTTTCCTCCATTTCATGTAATTTTTGCTTGTTTTTTCTTCTATTTCTTTAAGGGATTTTCTTGTTTCCTCTTAAAGGTCTCTATCATCTTCCTAAGATAATTTTGAGGTCCATCTCTTCTTCATCCTCTGTGTTGGGCTTTTCAGATCTTGCTGGTGTGGAGTCCCTAGATTCTGGTGGTGTCATATTGATTTTTCTGTTGTTGAGTGTGTTCTTACTCTGTCTTCTTCCCATTCCTTCTTCCAGTGTGTGCACATGGGGTCTCTCCCTCTCTCCAGTGGCAAGCAGAGGGCTCAGCCTCTGGCGGCAGTGGGATGGCAGAGGGCAGTGGGTGGACAAGGGTGGGGTGTGTCCGTACTCAGGGTGGGCCTTCTGGTCTGGGCAAGTCCACTCTTGTCGGGGGGTGGGGGGGTTCAGGCAGAAGGGAGCAGGGTTGATGGGGGATGTTGAGGGGGGCAGAGCAGTGCCCAGACTCACCTGAAGCTTGGGCAACCACAGCAGGACAGAGGGCAGAGTGTAGACAGGGGTGAGGTGTGTCCAGATTCCGGGTGGGCCTTCCCACTTGTGACTTTTATGAGAAGAACAGGTCCAAAAGGGAAGGAAGACTTTGTTAAGCATTTGTGTCCAGAAGGGAAGCGGCCATTTGTTTTACTGTATCCTTGGGATAATGACGGTAATCATGTCAATTAAGGATGCTTTTCCCAGCATGTAATGGAATTACATGAAAATAATATTTTTACTCTCAAAATGTGGTGGTCTGAAGATGTAGGTCAGCCAGCTGGTAGAATGCTTGCTTAGCATGCACAAAACCTTGAGTTTGGTTCCTAGCATCGAATAACCAGGTGTGAAGATGCATGCCTGTAATTGCAGCACTTGAGTCAGAAACTGAAGAAGTTTAAGGTCACCCTTGGCTTCATAGTAACTTTGAGGCCACTCTAGGGTACATGAGACTGTCTCAGGGAAAAACTTATACATAATTTATTTGTTTTTAATGAAAAGTGTCTCAGAAAAATCTGTTAAATTATTGTCTGTTTCTTGTCTTTATCAACTTTTGTCCCAAAGCTGACAAATATAAAGAGCTTCCCGAGAGACAACACCAAGTCACAGAAAAATTAGCCAATATGTTTGCACAGTCCTCCTTATACAGCGAAATGAGAACTGAACTGGATCCACTCTTGGGGGAACAGAAGGTGGGGAGGAGCTCAGCCTTGGAGGAGATCACGTGTGTCACCCCTTTCTGGCATCAGCTCTGGTGGATTACCTGTCGTTCATTCAAAAAATTCCAGTGTTTTTCATGGGTCACTGTGATTCAGGTAATCTGATGAGTTATTTTAATTGTTTTTTTTTCCACGACAGGGTTTCTCTGTGGCTTTGGAGGCTATCCTGGAACTAGCTCTTGTAGACCAGGCTGGTCTCGAACTCACAGAGATCCGCCTGCCTCTGCCTCCTGAGTGCTGGGATTAAAGGCATGCTCCACCAACGCCTGGCAAGTTATTTTAATTGTATTGTGAAAAACACAAGTGGGAGCAATTTGATTCTGAGTGAATGTACTTTAGGGTCACACTCATCTTCTACTCACTTCCATGAATTTGTCATCTCCTCTCTACTTGGCATATAGAAATATTCAATAAAGCAAGTAGAACCCAATTTACTTTTTACTTTCAGAAAATGTTTTTAGTGATAGATTTTATTTAGAGGAACTATAATGACTAAAATCCCAGTTGGAAATTTAACTCAGAGAGTACAAACGATAATTCAGCACACCTGGGAGTTCCTCACGTCTGTCTACTTTAATTCATCTGTGCATCCTACAAGTTCAAGTCCAGGGCTGAGTAAAGGAGGATAAAGCTTTTTTTCCTCTTGCAGCTTTTCCTGTTGGTGGATGGATGGTAACTGGACAAACAGATGAAATTGAAGTGTGTCAGATGGGAGAATGGATTTAGAGAAAGTTAAAGTAGAGAAGGGGTGGAGATAACTGGAGATGGAAAGGAGGGTTGACCTGTAGTTGAAATTGTGATGTGAGGAAACAGGCAGTGGACAGCTATGAAGGATCCTGTGCATCTACTGCCTGAGAGATGAGTCTACTGTGGGATTCTCTTTCCTTACTGGAGTCTACTTAAAGAGTGCAGTTCACCCACAAAATTACTGGACTGAACAATGCTCTCCCATGTCAGCTAACTGGGAACTAGGAGGAGATGAAGTTCTACCTTTCTAATAACTGGCTCTGTAACCAGGATCATCATGTCTGTTATTTTAACTGTGACATTCTGTGAATGTTACACAGAAATGAAGTTCCTGCAGCTCATTGGACCATCACTTATTCATTTATTTTTATTCATGATGTCAATGATTCTACTGAGTTAGTTATTGATCCTGGGGCCTTAGTCACTAGAGGGCAAACACTGGACCTACAACCCTGGCCCTGTAGTCAGTTCTGCTGTTAGTATGTTGTTATTTTAATTTCATGCATTTAGTTTCTGTCAAATACTGAAAGGTCGTGTGATGTTGGCTGTAATGGAACACTGTTCTACATATAAGTACTGACTTTTTCATATTTAACTGTTGCTGCCTTTCCTGGGTGTATGCAAATATTCTTTCCATTTGAGTTATACTGTCTGTTGATCCAAATACTTTGGTATTTAATCTTGGACATCTATGTCATAAAATGGGTATTTTATGTCTGATTTCTTTGACAACTGAAAATGTGATATGATTTGGAAATAGATGAGCTTCACTCATCAAAATGGGTTACTCATTTTGTTCAACAGCGAGCAGTATCATGAGGGAAAAAGTCTCTGTGTGTTAGCAATGCTAGGAATTGTGGAATAATTTTTAATTAATTAATTACTTATTGTATGTTGGTGTTTTGCCTGCATGTATAACTTCCCATCATGTGCATGCCAATGGAGGCCAGAGGAAGGCATCAGATCTTCTGGATGTGGAGTTACAGGAGGTTGTTAGGGGCCATTAGGGTTATCCCAGGTCCTCTGCAAGAACAAAAAGTGTTCTTAACTGCTGAGGCATATGTCCAAGCCCTGAGATTTTGGTTTCTAAATTATCAAGTTAAATGGTAGGATGCTTTCCCTTAGATAATAATTTTCTAAACATTATCAGAGGAATAAAGGATCTTTCACATAAGTTACTGTGTCATGCAGCCTTACACCTCAGGTAAGTGAAGCACCCTTTTAAGCCATTTTCACCCAAAACCAATGCAGTGCAGACTCCATGTGACTGTCTGCACAGATTGAGTCGATGGAGGTAGATGAGGGGCTGGAGGAGTTGGCAGCTTAGATGAGACTTGCTCACAGGCTGCTCCGGCTGATGTTGATGGAGCAGCAGTGACAGAGATTATGGGCAATGGAAGTATCAAGGGGCCCAGAGGATGCTGTGTGAATACTTTGGTGACAGCAATACAGCAATAGTGTTCCTTCCTACTCAGGCACAGATTTCCCAGAGGTGACACAGGTAAGGACCAGATGACTCCTTCTTAGCACAAAATCCCATTACTAGGAACTGTGTTGTGAATCATTTTTAATTTCATTATTTAGTTTGTAGTTGAGGGGATCAGCATTTCCTGTATATTGGGCAGGGCTCTGCCCCTGATCTGTCCCCCATGCCTGGGGTGTAGTTGTTTCTAAGTATAAGAGTAAATAGAGCCTTAATTATTTTCAGCCACTTGAAGTAGAAAGCTGCCCATGCTCACTGGTACGAGAGTTGAGATCTCAGTTTAAGTGAATGCTTTTTGTCACTTAACTTTGCTGTGTCCCCTACACTTCCATGTACTTGTGTTGTCTTCCCCCTGTGTCATCCGTGTTTCAGTACCTGACCTGAGCCCTTCACTGGCCCTTCCTGGTGGAGCACCGAGAGAAGTTTTAGCTTTCCAAAGTCTGTCCTGTTAGAGTCTCAAATCTCAGAGACCTTAATTTTCAGTTTAACATCCAAGCAGTCTATTGACATGTGTGTTTTATGTTCTCCCAGGGATTCTGCCCAAAATATAGTGTTTATCTCCCTTAAAATAATAGACAATGTGTAAAATGATTTCTACTCCTGATTGGATTTTTTTCTGCATTTTTTGAAAGGCAATTATTGAAGTCATAATGGCTGTGGTTATAGGTACTATTTTCTATTTCCTACAAGATGATTGTACTGAAGTCCAAAGGAGGTAAGCAAATGAGAAAAAGCTGTTACTTTGTTTAAACTTGTGTAAATCCATTAAGAATTAGAATTTGTGACAAGAGCAGAGTGAACACTTTACCATGTGATAGAATGTGTTGGTACATTGAAGGCTGAGTAGAAGAACTCACTTTTTCACACATGTTTGTGGGTAGATAGTATGAATCTATACACACCACACATTTCACATTTTACCAGTTTTAGTGTATGGAGTAGTTTCAATTTATGCGACCATCTTACCACACTCTAAATGTAGGGCATTTCTTCATCTTCCCGAAGGGAATCCCATAGATTTGAAAGAAGAAACCCCATACTACCCACTCCTGATTCCAGGCATCAACCATTCTACTTTCTGTCATTAACTATGAGTAATGTGGGAACCCTGAGTTGGAGTCACACAAGTATCTGTGCTTTGGCTTTGTTCTTGTTTGTTTTGGCTGGTTTGTTTTCAGCCATGGAATGTCCTCAGAGCCCATCAAAGTGTGGCATGTATGGAGATTTCTTGGGCTCTGTAAGGCAGAATAATGGTCCATTGTGTGTATTTGCTGTGTTGCTTCCCCCTTCATCTGTGACTAGACATGTGATTTTCTCTCATGTTTGGCTGCTGTGAAGCATACTATTGAGTGTAGCAGCACATGTGTTTGAGCCCTGGACTTTACTCTTTAAGGCAGAAATCTAAAAACTTGACAAACCATAGGCAATTGTGTTAATTGTTCGAGGAACTGCTGTCCTGTCTCCAACTTCACTGTACTATTTGTATCCTCACCAGCAGAACACAGGGGCTCCAGTATGTCCACATCCTCACCCAACTTATGTTCTTTCTTATTTGGAATATGATTTCTAAGAAAAATAAATTGTGATCCATTGAATGTTTTATGAAGTATCTGCAGAACCCATTTTCCAGTTTTAAATATTGAGCATTTGCTTTTCAATCCAAAAATATTTATTTATTTCTTCATTTAGTATGTATATGTGTGTGTGTGTGTGTGTGTGGGCATGTGTGTCCTACAGTATACATGAGGAGGTCAGAGGACAATCACAAGAGCTGACCCCTCCACCACATGGGTTTCAGGGATTGTTCTCAAGGTCATCAAGCTTGGTGGCAGTCATATTACTTGCTGAACCAGGTCTTAATTTTCCATGGCCCTTAATTTTTCCTACTATTGAGTTATAGTTATTTTGTTTCTGAGATGTGAATCCCCCACCAGACACATGATCCACAGAGATTTCTTCCCTACTGTGTGTTGCCTTTTATTCTGCTTATAGTGCCGTGGTGCAGAAAGGGTTTTAGTTTACCTATTTATTCTTCTTTTGTTGCTCAGGTGTCGATTTCCTTATATTTATTTTGATTGTTTGAATGTTAGTGTGAGATAATAGGATGGGACTAGTTTTTCCTGAATTGTCATATAGATGTCACTTTTGTGGTCCTTGTCTAGTTTGAGCTATAATATAACTTCAAAGATAGTCTTTCATGTTAAAACATTTTAATTACAATAGCATGTTCCAAACATAGTTTCTTATCAGGATCACAATTTTTAGAATTTTCACTGTAATTAGTGTGTAGCACACCACTATTTGCTCAACTGGGCTCCCTGCTTGACACCCACAGCCTCAGGGTACCTTCCATGGGCAGAGTCTTGATCATGGCAGTACTGTTGACATGGTATCTGTGTGTGTGTGTCTGATGTCTAACTACCACTGTGTACCTAGATAAAGTCACTGACATCTGACTGTCAGTTGAAAAGGTGTTATGTAACAGGCTGTTAGACCCCACTCATGCAGTCTGTCTTAGGGGAAACTGACATGTGTGTCCAGGAAACAGATAACTGCAGAGGGCTTTTTGTTCCCCTTCCTCTTGCTATCATACAGACACAAATAATTTCTTCATAAGTAATCATGACTGAATTATTTTTTGAGCACTTTGGAAACCATGCAGGAAGTTGTTGGCCTATTTTAGGGATAATCAAGGCTTTAAAGTTGTTTCCACAGTCCATGTCTGCAATAAGCCGTTCCCCCACTGTTTCATATTTTCATTCTTACCCTTCCCTAAATCAATTAAGCCAATGGAATATGAAAACCCCTGGGAGTTTTATTTGTCTTATTTTTCTCTCTTTATACATTAGGAAAGATGCTTACCAACTTTGTTAGTTAAATTGAAGTGATTTGGGCTGCCATGACTAAATAACACAGGTCAGTGGATTTAAATGTAAATGTGTCTCCACACTGCCTGAGTCTGAGGTGAGGATCCTCTCCCAGGTCTTCCTGTCTGTCTACCTTCTCTCAGCCCTCTCCTGGCAGACACTACATTTCTGTTTGTTCCCATAATGAGGACACATATGACATCGTGGGGCTCTACTCTCATGATTTCTTCTAAAACTAATGAACTCCTAAAAAAACATACTCTAGAATTAATACATGAATGGTAATTATCAAATTGTTAGATTTTACAGACACACTTCAATTAATAGATACCACTGTGGAGACAGAGAGGAAAATAATCATGGGACCTGACCTTTTTAACCAGACAGTTCCACATTTTTATTATTTCTTTTTTAAAAATACTTAGTCTTTATGTATATGAGTGTTTGTCTGCATGAATGGATATTCACCATGTGTGTGCCCTGAAACCTGTGGAGACCAGAAGAGGGCATCATATCCCCTGGAACAGGAGTGACAGATGGTTGGGACCCACCATGTGGGTGATGACAACCAACCCTGGGACCTTTGCAAGAGCCATAAGCTCTCTTTACTGCTGAGCCATCTCTCCACTTCTGGTGTGTGTGTGTGTGTGTGTGTGAGTGTGTGTGTGTGGTTTAATATATCTATGTGATGCTATTTAAATTACAGAACAAGCTCAATTGATATAAAACTATTCCTATATTGAATTTGCTGTTGCTTTCTTCATTCTCTCCCTACAGAACTGCCGTGCTATACTTGCTCACAGGCTTTGAATGCTTCACAAGCCTGTCTGCCAGGGAGCTCTTCATAAATGACAGGGATCACTTTCTGTGAGTAGCTTTTGCCGCAGAAGCAGGCATCAGGGACTAGTGATCAATATGATTATGTTCATAGTTGAGCCTAGTATATTATCTCATGAAAAACCAGCATTCCCCCTTTTTCTTATTTATGTAGTTGAAAGGTAAACAAATTATGAAATTTTGTGTTTACCATTGTGGCACCATGTGTTTGGAAAGTCTGTAAAGAGATTACTAATATTAATGGATGGGAAATGAGGAGCAGATGTGTCTGCTGCTCAGAGAAAGTTTTAAATTTGGGGTGTGGTTACCAGATCTCACTGCTGCAGACAGCACAGGAGGAGGGGACTGAAAAGCACAGGAAATTTGTGACCCCCCTTCCCCAAAGAAGATGTTAGGGGATTCCTAGAGCTTTTGTGTAGTGGGTTCAGCAGCACATTGGAGCTGGAGAGGTACAGATGTATAATAATGAGAGTGTGCACAGCCTGGTGATGGAGGGGTGGAAAGAGCCAGAAGGAAGCTGTGCAGAAAGAGTTGCTTATCTCATGTGTATTTCACTCATGGGGGAACCTTTGCCCAGTGACCTGTGCTTAGGATTCACTGCTCACAAAGATAGCCAAGATTTGCCCCAAGTACATGCCAAGGAGAAGAGACATCAGGGAGGAGCTGAGGGCCTTGCTCAGTTGGTAGAGTGTTTGCTTTGTGTGCATGAAACCCTGTGTTAGACTCACAGTACCACATAAACTTGAGCATGGCAGGTAGGCCTGTAATGCCAGTAGAGACAGGTAGGAGAATGGTCATTGTTGGATACATATGGAGTTTGAGGCCAGCCTACACTAGTGGTCTATTATCAAAAAAAAAAAAAAAAAGGAAGAAAGAAAGAAGGAAAGAAGGAAGAAAGGAAGGAAGTAAGGAAAATCAGAGTTACAATGAACTCACTGGGAGAGGAAGGGCTTGGATTTTGAAGGCCAGGAAGGGAAAGGATTAGGTTTGTTGTCTGGCAAAGATTCATGGTTGTAAAAGAGACTATTGAAGGAATACATCAGTCCTAAAGTGAGAGTAGCCAAAGAGAAGGATGGAGCATCCTGAAGCTGCACTGTGACATCAGAGTGACAGTGTCACCTTCTTCATAAAAACTGGAAGGACACGAGTCTCCATGACCACTGTCTGAGTTGAGGTGTGAATGAGCTTCTCCTCAGGGAGCCAGCTCCAGAGGGGCAGAGACCCTGAGGAGAGTGGGCTCATCGGACTGTTTCCCTGGAGAGGCTCCTGGGTGGCCAGAGTGGAGAAAAGGGGAGAGTTCTCACATGGGGAGAGTCATAGTGAGAATGTCATAAGGATGATGGCTTAGAGATGCTGGGCCCTAAGCTGGGGGCCTGTATGGGAGTCAGCCTGGTGCATAGCAGACACTATCCTGCTAGGTTCCCTGTGGTAGCAGAAATCAGTGTAGCCAGCATCTCATCTGTGCCTTCTGGACTAATCTAAGGATGTATGACATGATCTTTGTCTCTGTAGACATGAGCATACCAGTGGATACTACAGTGTGTCATCATATTTCCTTGGGAAATTGCTGGCTGAGCTGGTACCCAGGAGGTTATTGCAAAGTATTATACTTACTGTTATAATATTCATCATATCAGGTAAGAAACAAAACAAGAGAAATGGTCTTTATTCTTGGGGGAGCATGTTTTGGTTTGTACAGCTGTGGCAACTCTAAAATAGAGAAACATAAGTAGAAAAACATGTCTCCACTGTGTGCCATCTAACACACGTGTTCAGTGTGAGAAAAGTCTGCAAGACTTGTTCACAGAACACTACAAATGCTGTTGGTGAAACTGTTTTTACTAGAGATTCTGTGTAGTACAATGAATAAATAACATACATTTGAGATAGTACCAATGAAGCAAAATCAATTATTACATATATATTTATATATTGTAAAATATTTTTCTTTTATTTGTGCCTCTCTCTCTCTCTCTGTGTGTGTGTGCGTGTGTGTGCGCACCCGCACAGACAGACTAAGCGGATACAGTGCTTTGAGAGAACAGAAGAGGACATCAGCCCCTTTGAGGTAGAGTTACAGAATGTGAGCTACCGTGTGGGTTCTGGGAATGGAATCCAGGGCCTCTCCAATTATAGCACACACTCTTAATCAGTGAGCCATCTCTCTTGCCCAGCTGCATATTTTTCTCCGTGGCTCTGTGTAAGTGCATATATATATTATGTTCATATATTAATCTGTGAATATGGTTAATCTTCATCCTAGGCTGTTTAGAATTTCCATAATTTTCACATATTTACAACTCACACAGACACATACATATACACAGACATGAACATACTCATACACACATACTCACAGACAGATATATACAAACTCACACAAACACACACAGACATGCACACACACACTTATACACACACTCACCCCACCCACGCCCACACCTGTACTCACACAATACTCACATACATACATACAGATACATAGTCATACAAATACACTCACACACAGACATGAAATACACACACTACAATGCACTCACATACTCTCACACACAGGCACACAAAAGCACTCTCACACAGACATGCACACACACTCACACATGCACACACAGAGACATACACATACACACACACACACACACACACACACACACACACTCACACAGACATATACCTACACTGACACAGTGACATGCACACATTCATGCACAAGATAAAGCACTGATAAATCTTAGAATGTGTTTACAACAGATTTATCATTCAGGACCAGTCATTCAGGCCATGAGATGGTTTTGGGGAATGTGCTTCTCTTACAAGCCTGACAACCTGAATTTGATCCTCAGAATCTACAGTGGAAGAGAGACTCACTCTAGAAAGTTGTCCTCAATTCTACATACACAACATGGCACATGCACACCATGACACATGCATACCACAGCACATGCACACTATGGCACATGCACACCATGGCACATGCTCACCATGATACATGAACACCTATACTCACACATGTACTATACACACCATGATAATGATAACAATAACGTTGAAAACAATTAGGCATGGAACTCAGCTCCCCCAGACTCTGTGTCCTGTGACTATTAGAGAACACAGCACTGTGGATGACTCATAGCGTGAGCTCCATAAAGATTACAAATCAGCTTGTGGAACCCATTGCCTTCCTCCTCAGCAGTTACATGGAGGCACCATCCTGTCCTCTAGACATTAAAACCACTGCAAGTTTGTTTAATCCTTGCCTTAGTTAGGTTTCCAGAGCTGTGATAAACACCATGAGAAGAACCAAGTTGGGAGGAAAGGGTTTGTTTGATCTTACAGTTCAATGTACTTCATGAAGGGAAGTCAGAGCAGGAACCTGGAGGCAGGAAGTGAAGCAGAGGCCATGGAGGGGTGCTGCTTCCTGGCTTGATCTCCCTGGATTGCTCAGCTACCTTTCTTATACCACTCAGGACCACCTGGCCCAGGACTAACCAATACCGCCCTGATTCCAATTTTATTTTGCCAATACAATTATATAAACACAGGGGAATAATAACAAGAACATTTTCTATTGGTAATTCTCCAGTGAGAGAAGGCATCAGAATTTTGGCCAGTTGTGTTGCTTGTAGCTCTCCATGTCAGGATATCAGAAACTGCTTATAATTGTGTATAAAAGAGAATAGGCATTATGCGAAAAGGTATTTTATGGCAAGTATAAAAATAAAGTCATGTGGTGAAGCTGCAGAGATGGCTCATTGGTTAAGAGAGACGTGCTGCTCCCCCACAGTCCCCAGATTTGGATCCCAGCATCCTCATCATCAGGCAGCTTTCACTGCTCTAGGAGCACAGCTCTAGGAGATCCGATGCCTCTTCTGGCCTCCAGAGGCAACTGCACACATTTGGGATACATTAGCACAGACATGTTACACATGAATAAAAATGGAATAAATCAAAATGGGGGGGGTGGGGGTGAGGGGAGCCTCTCTAGCTTGCGGCCTGTGTCTATGGTCTGGCCTGCAGCGTCTAGCTGCCAGGGACCGATCCCTGGTATATGGCGCCGCAGGAACCGGCTCCCAGGCCCAGATAAAGGGCTACCTCAGCAGCTTTTGGCAGGGCCAGAGGAGATCTCCCTGCTCCGAGAACGGCTACCTCCCGCAATGAACCGGTGGCTGAAATCGGTGTCATTGCCTATGGGACGGTGTACAAGGCCCGAGATCCCCACAGCGGCCACTTTGTGGTCCTCAAGAGTGTGCCAATTCCCAACGGAGGGGGAGCTGGAGCGGGCCTTCCCATCGGCAGAGCCTTACTGAGGAGGTTGGAGGCTTTTGAGCACCCCAATGTTGTACGGCTAATAGATGCCTGGGCTACCTCCTGAACTGATCTAGACATCAAGGTCACTCTCGTGTTTGAGCAAATAGACTAGGACCTGAGGACATACCTGGATAAAGCACCCCCACCAGGCTTGCCCGTTGAGACCATCAAGAACCTGATTCGACAGTTTCTAAGTGGCCTGGATTTTCTTCATGCAAATTGCATTGTTCACCGAGACCTGAAACTGGAGAACATTTTGATGACAGGTAATGGGACAGTCAAGTTGGCTGACTTTGGCCTGGCCAGAATCTACAGCTACCAGATGGCCCTCACACCAGGGGTGTCACACTGTGGTACCGTGCTCCTGAAGTTCTTCTGCAGTCTACATAGGCAACACCCGTGTACATGTGGAGTGTTGGCTGTATCTTTGCAGAGATGTTTCATTGAAAGCCTCTCTTCTGTGGAAACTCTGAAGCTGACCAGTTTGGCAAAATCTTTGATCTCATTGGATTGTACCCAGAAGGTGACTGGCCTCGAGAGGTATCTCTGCCCTGAAGAGCCTTTTCCCCCAGAGGTCTGCAGCCAGTGCAGTTGGTGGTACCAGAGATGGAGGAATCTAGAGCGCAGCTGCTGCTGGAGATGCTGACTTTTAAACCACATAAGCGGATCTCTGCCTTCCGAGCCGTGCAGCACTCTTACCTACACAAGGAAGAGAGTGACCCAAAGTGAAAAGAGTAGCTGCCTCTCCTCTCCTCAGGACACTTGGGCGACAGCAAGAACCTCAACTTGTGCCTTCCTCTGGGGCTGTGGAGACACCTCCAGTTTTTTACAGAGAATATTTTAACCCTTAAATGACATTCCCCCCACTCCCTATGAGGCTTGTCCTCTTGCCCTCCCGTTTCTCTACACTAAAGGGTGGGTGTCTCTGTCTCTGTCATCTTCCCTCCCTGATTTATACTGGGATCTTTTTTATACAAAAAAAAAGACAAAAAAAATGAATGAATCTTAAAAAGGAGAAAGTGTGTATCAATTTTATGTACTCAAATGGAAGAGAGCAATTAAATGGGACCCAGAGTAGTAGGTGATTTAAGTATTTTTTGAACACTGAACTGACCCCACCTTTTTCTTTCTAAGGAATAAGAAGAGATGTGAAGGGTTTCTTCACTATGATATTTACTGCCACGATGTTGGTTTATTCCGCCAGTTCGGTGTCACTGTCATTAGGGGCAGGGGAGAATGCAGCAGCTATACCAACATACCTCATAATCAACTATATTATGTTCATGCTGGTGAGTGTGAATTGTGTTTATCTAAGAGGAAATTTTCCTGCTGTTCCTTCTTGCAAATGTACAAACTTGACTCATCAGTACTTGGGACATGAGGCCTATGCTAAAGCTTATTAGGGTCTGCAGGAGAGAAGGAACAGCTACTGCTCTGATGTCAGTGCTATGATGTGGTTACCATGCCCTTTCTAGTGAACTCTTAAGAGGCATTTCTTGGGGTCATATTACTAAACCATAACTAATTGGAATATCAAGAAGATAGAAAGATTGGCTGATCCCCCCCCCCCAACAAGACAGATTGCAGTCTTCCTTTCATGCTGGTGTGAGAGACTTGCCTGATGTTTTCACCATAGCAGAGGTGCTGTGGTTTTTTCAGTAGTCTCTAATGGAGAAGCAAAGGTCGTGAGCAATGTGAAGTGTTCAGCACAAGGAGTCTCATGGTTCAGCTTTGTCCACTGTCAGATAGAAGCCTACAGAGCCCTTTATAGGCTGTGTTAATTGTCTACAGCAAGCTACAGACGAACAATAAAGAAGCTGCTATCACCTATTTCTTTCATTATTAAAATAAATGATCAATTAATAAATCTGCATTCCATTGATGCAGACCCCCTTGCTCTGGCTAATACGATAAAAGCATGCCAATGTGTGGACACCAATAAAATAAAATGCTCAAATTCTAGCAAAGTCCTTATTATGGCCTCTAACATGTTTCAAATGTGAAAAATAATTCCATTGTTTTCCTGGAGCTGACAGGCTTTTTACTGAGATAATTAAACTCACCAACAGATTTCAACAGCAACAGCAGAAACTCTAAACTAGCATGTTATTGTTAATTAATTTAAAAGCTTTCTCTTTACTATTCTTCTGTACCCTGATGAGAAAGAGTTGATTTTCTTTCAATACCTACTTTCAATTAAATCATAGAGACAGGGTTTCTCTCTGTATCCCTGGCAGTCCTGGAACTCACACTACAGACCAGGCTGTCCCTGGGCATGCATCACCATCTCCTGTCTCCAAAAGGTGGGGGGTACTTCTGTTGAGAAAATGATACCTACAGATTCACTTGTATGCAAGTCTGGGGGCAGCATGGGTTCTTGATTAATGATTGATGTGGGAGGTCCCAGTCCACTGTGAGCAGGACAACACAGGGAAGGCCATTTAGGCAGATGGAGACATTTGGAGCAAGCCAGTAAGCAACTTCCCACCATGGTCTCTGCTTTATCTCCTGCCTCTAAGTTCCTCCCTTGAGTTTCCATCTTGGATTCTCTTAATGATATAGACTATGGTCAAGATGGGAAAGTCAAATAAGAGCAAATGGCATGTTGCCCTCTGTATGAGAGGAGGACACATGGGGGTGGTAAAGTGTGCCAGACTCTGTTGCTCTTGTTCCTGGGTGTACAGACAGGCCCTTTGAAAGCCTTTATCCATAGAGGAGATGAATCATTCCTCACACAACAGGGGGATGGGTTCTCACCAATGGTGGTGATATCACCAATGGTTGATGGTACCTCTAGCTGTTTTTTTTCAGAATAGTTCTGCTAATCAGGGTCTTTCCATACAAAATTAGTATTGTTTTTGCAATTTATGTGAATTGTATTATAATTTTGATGGGGACTGTATTGAATTTGTTGATTGCTTTTGGTAGGATGGATATTTTCCTATTTATCCTACAATCTATAAGTATGGGAAGTTTGTCTGCCATTCAGTATCTTCATTTTTTTCAGTGTCTTAAAGTTTTTATTGTATAAGTATTTCATTTGGTCAGATTTATTCCAAGATTCCCACTCCCCAATTTTTTGAGGGTTTTGTGAATGAGATTTACTTCCCTCATTTCTTTTATGCTATGTTTGTAATTTGTACTTGGAAAAGCTCCCAATTTCTCTATGTTTGTCATGGTATTTTACCACAGCCACAGGAAAGAAACTAAGACAACAGGTTATTGACTAAAGTTTCTAAGTGGAACTTTACAACTAGTTATAAAGCCAAGTGTTGTATGTTCCATATAAGCATTTGGTCAGGTGCAGTCTGAATGCATTCATGCACAGTCACTGTTTTGCATATCCTAGTGTACTTAAGAGTAAATAGGACAAGTTTATTGTGAACTCTAGAGCTGTTCCTTGTCCATCCTTGTCCATCATTCATAGTATTTACATAAATTAGATATTATAAGGAATCTAAAGAGGATTTTAAAAATGTAGAATGGGTGTATTTAAAGTTTAAAGGCTGTGCATAGATTACATGCTTTTTTTAAAGACAAACAACTCAAGCATCTGAGGGTTAGGTTCCTCCAGAGTGGGGTGGTCAGTCCTCCTTTTAAAACCCACAAAGACCCTTGGCTTTGAAAGGAGTGAAGAATTCTGTTTCTGTTTAGAGGTAACTTAAAGAATGATTCAAAGAGCTGGTCTAAGCAGAAATGGTCAGAAGGATGAAGGGGTCTTGAAGAGGAGGATCTTGTCTAGAATTCTTAGTCACTGGACTGGTTCTAATTCTGTTCTTTGTAGTTTACCTCAGGTTTATCACTATACCACATAAACTTCATGTACGACCTGTCATGGATTCAGTACTTCAGCATTCCTCATTATGGATTTTCAGTAAGTTGTCCTGTCTGTCACTACTTTGGTTCCCCAACTGTAGCACCTGAAATGATCCCCAATTGCTGTCCAGGATTCTCCTTCCAGGAGCTAAAGATAAGAACTTCCCTGTTGGTTTTACCAAAGGCCAGTGAGTCTTCTTGGGTGTTCCCCAGTCATGTGTTTTTTGAGGGAAACAAATGATGAGAAAAGAGGGAAAGAGGAAAGAGGAAAGATAGATGATATTATGAAAAGCACACAGTTGTGATTATGCCCAATAAGGTAATAATGGCAGGATGAGGGACTGTGATATATAGTTTACATCAGGAAACTAAAAGAAACAGAAACCATGTGATGCCCATAGCCATACTGACTTTGCCAAGCTTTCTCTGCAGTAAAGTATGTCTTAACAGACTTTCTTATTCCCATAATCACAACTGGCTTTGATGAAAAAAGCAATGATGTTACTGTGAATCAATGGTACTGTTTCAATTACAATGTTTCCATGGTTATGGACTGGGCAGAGAAGGAGGTGTCTGAGGTAATCTACTTAGACTCCACCTCTTAGTCTGGAAGCTCCTTCATTTCCATCCTGAACCTTCTGAGGGGGGGGGGCACAGCTTTGTTGGGCAGACTGAACTTGTGGAGGTTGTTTGTTTAAAAATAGTTTTGTAGATTACAGTCAAGATTGAATTTGAAGTTATAGCTGTGTTCATTCTTTGGAGACTTATAAATTATTATACTATTTGTCTTTTCCTGTTTTTGTTTGTGTTACAGGCTTTGCAGCACAATGAATTCTTGGGACAAAACTTCTGTCCAGAACACAAAACAGCAGAAATCAGTAGATGCCAGGGCTATGTAATGTAAGCTTGAGTTTGGGGTCACAATGGGGGCTTAGCATGCTCCTAGACTTAGAGTGGAAACCCATCCATTCAGGATGAACACCCTGTCCCCTGCCATTCCCCACAGGGAGTCATTGTCACCAGTTCACATGTGGCTGTATTTTCCATCCTCCTGCTCTGTTGTGTAGACAGTGTTCAGAAAGGGTTCTTTGGGCCTTTAAAATTGGTTTTGGTGTCTTGATTGTGGGTTTGAGTTCCTTGTTTCAGAACATGAGTCTGACATAGGCTGCTCTGATAGTTCACACGGGAATACATTTTGCACATGTATAGATTATGGTTCCTGTGAGCAAAGCCCAAAAATGTCAGGGCAGCAAGGGCAGAAAGGGCTGAACTGTGCCTGCCAGATTCCAGGGTATTCTCTCTGCTTCACGATCTGGAAGATTTCAAGAAAGCAAAGGCCGGTGTGTGTGTGTGTGTGTGTGTGTGTGTGTGTGTGTGTGTGTGAAATATTCTACCACAGGATATTTTAGTATTTTGAGAAGGAAATATTTTTGTCTAATACCATTAAAATAGAAAATAAAATTTAAGTGTATTGTTTTAAAGTTACAATACCTTCTGTTAGTATTTAGGTATCTGTACTGGCCTACCTTTGGAGTTCTCACAAGATACACCCTCAGCTGTTGCCACTCAGAGCACCACCTGTGCCTATTTAATATATTTCCTTTTAAAAGGACCCTGCCCACCTCCCATCTCTTTCTATGTTCCCCCTCTCTCTTTCTCTCTCTCTGTTTCTCACTCTCTTTGTCTCTGCCTCTGTTTCATCTTTCCCACTGTTTCTGTCCCCGAAGGCCAGTGTCTTCCCCCTTTCTCCTTTTTATGATCTTTTCCCCCTAATTAAAAAAATCCTTCCCCTTGAACTCTGTTGCATTGCTTTCTGTGATTGTTCTCATTGATTTTATTTTGATTTATAAGTGAGAGAGGAACATGCCAGTATCTTAAATCTCTCATGGATGTTAAAAATAGTAATAATAGTTACTCAAATCTTGTTTGGATTACTGATGAGAAAACAAGTATGAGGGGTATCTAATTTCCCACACTTTCTGTCTACTTGTGTGGTCTGGCACTCTTCTAATAGATAGTCATTACCAGTTTCTTGTCAGAAGGATTGAGATGGTGGTATTAGTTGTTGGTACCACCCAGCCCCCAGACAAATAAAAAATGGAGGCTTCTTCATTACAAATAGCCAGCTACAGTTTGGGTTGTTTCTTGCCAGTTTGTCTTAACTTTAAATTATCTCATCTACCTGTTTTTGCCTTTGGGCTTTTTCCTTTCCTTACTTCTGTATATTTTACTTTCACTCTTATTCCATGGCTGGCTGTGTGGCTGGCCCCTGCTGTCCTCCTCTCCTTGTTCTCTTGCTCCTGCTCTCTCTCTCTTCCTCTTTCTCCTTCTATTTCTATTCTCTGCGTGCCAGCCTCACCTATACTTTCTCTTTCCTAGCTATTGACCTTTCAGTGCTTTATTAGAACATAAGATGTTTTAAACAGGAAAAGAAACACAGCTTCACAGAGTTAAACAAATGCATTATAAGAGAATGCAACACATCTTTGCATCATTAGACAAATGTTCCACATAATAAACAAATGTAACACATGTTAAAATAATATTCCACAACATGATGGGTAAAATGAAACCAGTACAGGCCATCTATAGACTCATACTCACAAAAAGATTGTGCTAAGAGAAGAAAGAAATCTGCCCTTTCAGCAGATTTGAGAATGGCTAAATCCTAAGAGATACAAGGGATGGAGACACACATGGATGGATATACACAGGGACGGAGACAAAAAGGAATGAAAACACATAGGATGGATATACACAGGGATGACGATACAAAGGAGATAATTGTAGTGTATCCAGAATTTTTAGCAGCAGCTGCTTTTCTACCCTGTGTCAGGGTTTCTGCTTCCTGCTATGCTCCAACCACTACCCAGACTCTGTCTATAGCCCTGGCCTGTGGGGATGTTTCATAGCTGAGCATACATGGTTGTCACTGCTGTCTTAGTACAAGAACTGACAGGAATTGACTGACTCCTGTCCAAAACCCTTGGTCTCCTCTGGTCCTCTGTCTAGATTTTGATGCTGTGTTCTTTTGCATGACTGTCAACTGAGTCAGCTGAATTGCACAAAGCTTTGTTCTCTTAGAGTGACTGAGCGTGTCATTAGGAAGCTGCAGTTTTCCACTTCATGAGAAACAATTGCTTCATCCATGCCTTTTCCCTTTGAAGAGAGAGCAGCATTGTAGATTGAAAAATGAATGACATGTAAAGACAGTGAAGACTACGAATTTAGATCTTAGTATGACTCTGCAAATTTGCCCAAGTTTCCTAAGTCTACTTCCTCTATGCTTCTAAATAGATGTGATAGCTACATCTCTTTGGATGTTTTTTGAAATTAACAAAGGGACCTGATTCAAGTAGTTTAGATTTCATAATATATTACAAAATAGTAAGTTCATCATTACTGCTCTCAAATATAAAGAAGAAAATTTTAATGATGTGCTGAAACTATGAGTTTTTAGAAGGAAGGAACAGTGAATGTACTGAATAAACTTTGACATTATTTTTGTGTATGTTGAATTACAGATGTACTACTGAAGAATATTTGGCAAACCAAGGCATTGATATCTCATCGTGGGGCTTCTGGAAGAATTATGTGGCCTTAGGTTGTATAATGATTATCTTCTTATCAATTACCTATGTGCAGTTGTTATCTCTTAAGAAAAAGAGATATTTTTAAATCACTCTTCCATTTTCTTCTGATTATTCTGATGTTTGAAAAAAAATAAAACTTTTCTGGTGGCCATGTCAGTGGAGCAGTAGGTAGCACTTGAATTTTAGGAGTTTGGCCCACCAGAATAGAAGGCACTGATGGATGAATCTTAGGTAAGCAAGGCCCTGCAGGTTTTCTTCACAATGTTTCTTGTACTGCTGTGACTTTACATACTTGGCATTGCCATTTTTCTCTGGTAGCTGGCATGGTGTGAATGGGGGTGGAGAGATCCCCACTGCCTTTAATGTAATGTGATATTTTCATGAAAATATCCTGTTCTACTGGGCATCTATCTGTGGATCATTATGAAGAAGATTTCCTACTAAGCAATACTGTTTAACTGAAGTAATGATTTTATACAATAATAGTGATAGAATTTTGACGATTAAGGGTATTTTACCAAATGTAGTAAGGGATTATGGTAGAGGTTAGTTTAGTGGGAAAATTAATACAGGCAAAGGTAGGATATGGTGTTTCCTCCACCCCTGATAAAGCAGGGATGGCAGAGGATAGAAATAGGGCCAAGGAAGTGTTACACAGCTAGGACTTATGAGTTTCCTTGAGGAACCCTTTAGACTGTGTTTTAGGTTCATGATTAAGGAAAACATTTAAATCCCAGGAATTAGTTCAAGTTCTTTTTCATATTTGGAATTGATGCACAGATTTCATAGTGCATCATAGATAAAACAATACTTCATGTAACTAGAAAACAAAGAATTGGATGGTTGATTAAGATAATTGGGCAGAACTCTAAAACATGAAAAGTGAAACTAGTCACCTGTTTTTCTGGAAATTATAAAAACTACTGCCTATGTACTCATTATGGCTAAAAGGCTCCTGATGTATGAGAAGTCTAAAAGATAATTGTTCAAATGTATGTGGGTTCTTAGGAATAATTTGCTTTTTACCTGCAATATGTAAAATGATTAATCATGTAAGGGAAATCGGAAACATGATTTTTTTTTACTTGTATTCATTGTAATCATTCACTTAAAAATACAATGTAACTAAATTGTAATTTTTATATTGCTTGAAAGATTTTTCTGGGATATATAAGCTGTAAAGGAAAAAATAAGGAAGTTAGAAGGAAGATATTAGGAAGTAGTGAAGAAGGAAGTCATCAAGAGAAAGAAGGGAAACATCAGAACAGAACAGAAAAAATGATAGAACAGAACAAGAAATGGAAACAATAATAAAATTAAGAACTAAGCTTTGGTCCTCAGAAAAATCCTAGTGTGTCTGTTTGTCTGTCCAGTAGTTCACCTGCTCTGCATCTCCGGTTTCTCTGACCTAGTAAAGACTTGTCATTTGTCAGCACCTTAGGTGAAATCCTGACATGTTGGAGGTGTGTGTGAGAGAGTAGTATGTGAGTGTGCGTGTGATATGTGTGTGTAAGAGTATGTGTGTGTGTGTGAGTCTGAGTGAGAGTGTGTATGTGTATGTGTATGTGAGAGTCTGTGGTGTGAGTGTGTGTATGTGTATGAGAGTGTGTGAGTGTAGTGTATGTGTGTGTGTGGTGTGTGTCTGTAAGTGTGTGTGAGTGTGTACATGTGTGTGTCTGTGTGTTTAATTGTGTGTGGTGTGTATGAGCATGTGCATGTATGTGTGTGTGATTGTGGTGTGTCTGTGTCTATGTATGTGTGTGTGTGTTTGGTGTGCATGCACGTGTGTATGGGTGTGTGTGTGAGTATGAATGTGTGTGAGAGTATGTGTTTGTGAGACAATGTGGTATGTGTGTATATGTGAGTGTGTGTGGTGTGTGTATGGTGTGTGTGTGCATGTAAAAGTGTGTTTGTATGTGTGTGACTGTGAGTGTGTGTGTGTGCTCATGTGTATATGCGTGTGTATGTGAGAATGTGAGAGTGTATGTGTGCATGTGTGTGTATGTGTGTGAGAGTGTGTGTGTGTGTGGTGTGTGTGTATGTGAGTGGAAGAGGATGTGTGTGAGAGTGTGTGGGTGTGGTATGGTGTGTGTATGTATGTGTTGTATGTGTGTGAGAGTGTGTGTGAGTGGTGTGTGTGTGTATGTGTGTTCATCCTCTGACTATCTGGTCTCACTTTCAATTCCTGGTCTCTACAGCAGCAAAGATTTTACCATGTAAATCCAGCCAAAAAGCCAGCAACTGGGGTCTTAGGTTCTATGATGCAAAATTTTCTACAGTTGTTTAAAAAGATGTGATTCCAAACTATTCTAAATGTTCACACTCACATGCATGGACAACTGCTACATCCAGCATCACCAAGAAGAGATTCCTATGTAATGAACTGTGGTGAGTGCAGAGACTCATGGCTGCTCAAGGTACCAGAGTAAGTGACACTTGAGTGCTTCACCCTAAACAGGACACCTATGCCACCCCCATCCAAAGTTTAGAGCTGTGCGGAAGAGGGGTGTAGGGGTCCAGAAGCCAGAGGACAAGAAGAAAGGTTGAAAATTCGATATTGTGGGCATGACACACACAGACATTGCAGCCATGGTCTGTCTCACAACACCTACAGCTACCTGCACAAGACGGGGTCTCTCATCAGCACAGCAACGGTCAGAGAGGTACTTAATGGGACCATACTCCTTTCTGCTGAACTATTGCTACTGGTAGATTTTGGATGACAGGCAGTCCCTGACTTCACACACTCACAAAAGAGCCAGCTAGGCTCCAGTGGATAGTCTAAAGCCCAGGGTCCCACAGACAGCTCTGCATAAACTTGGTGGATCACAAGATAATACCCAGATATGAATGTAGAAAGGGACTCATAAAGAGGTGGATTTGAAGGGGTTGGAAAGGAGATAAGAAAGGTGGGGGGGGAGTGAGAATGGCTGAAATGCATTACATACATATATGGAACTGTCAATTTTTAAAAATTACAAAGATAAGCCGGGCGTTGGTGGCACACGTCTTTAATCCCAGCACTTGGGAGGCAGAGGCAGGTGGATCTCTGTGAGTTCGAGACCATCCTGGTCTACAAGAGCTAGTTCCAGGACAGCCTCCAAAAGCCACAGAGATATCCTGTCTCGAAAAGCCAAAAAAAAAAAAAAATTACAAAGATAAAAAAGGAACTTTTCTGTACAGTATGTAGTGAAGACTTTTTCCTGTTTAGTTTCTTTTATACTGTAAATAAGCAATGGTTAGTTATCTTTTAAAGTTCACAAGATAGTAACAAACTAAATTCCAAATAAAAGGGTTTAAGCTCCAAGCTCCATAAATGACTATTGCATTACAGAATGGACTATATTCATATCTATATTTCCCACTAAAGATATATTTTTTTCTATTGTTGTGTTGTCATTTTAATCTCACCTAACATATTGAATACAATTCTCATAATGTACTGGATCTTTGCATATTTTATAAAAATGCTGCTGGGAAGGACAGAAAGTCAGACTGCTACAGGGATGTGGCCATTTCATGCTCCAGAAATGGCCCCACATTTGTGCATACTCTAAGTGAACTCCTACATGTTAAATTTAAAAAAAATAAGCAAGGGAGAGAAATCAAGAGAGAGAGAGAGAGAGAGGGAGAGAGAGAGAGAGAGAGAGAGAGAGAGAGAGAGAGAGAGAGAGAGTGTGCATATAGAGAGAGAATGCATTTAACTGACAGCTAATGTTATTAAGTATTACATGTTAGTTCATCTCATTGATAATAATCATGAGAGGCAATCAATCAAATAATTTGACCTGGAAAAGGAGAACTTGTCCTAGAAAATCTTGCATTCTTTATGCTTTTACATCTTCATCTTTACAATGAGACCATCAAGTATCATCCTCCAAAGAAATCCATCATGAGCTATTATCTGGTCCATAAGAAATGTACCATTTCTATTTTAAAAACATGGTTCTAAAATATGCTATAAAACTTATGTTACTTTTAAGGTTAAAAAAATCAATGAACTTGGTGTGGTGGTGCATGCTTACAGTGTCTTCAGTTGGGATTTGGAAAGCTCAGGAATTCAAGGTCATCCACAGGTAGACAGTATGTTTGAGGGTACCCTGAGCTACAAAGGACTCTACCTCAAAGCAAAACAAAAACAAACAAAAACCCCACATACATAATGAGTAATCCTAAAAGTATCTTTGATGAGCTCATTAAAAAAGATTTTTGAATGATGGTGTCTTTGTTAGAGTTTCTATTGCTGCAATGAAACACCATGACAAAAAAAGAAAAGAAAGAAAGAAAAGAAAAAGAAAAAAAGCAAGTTGGGGAGGAAAGGGTTTAATTGGCTTATACTTCCACATGACTGTTCCTTACTGAAGGAAGTCTGAGCAGGAACCTGAAGGCAGGAGCTGATGCAAAGGCAATGGAGGTGTGCTGCTTACTGGCTTGCTCACAATGGCTTGTGCAGTCTGCTTTCTTACAGAACCCAGGACCACCAGCTCAGGGATGGCACCACCCACAATGGTTGGGCCCTCCCTGTTAGTCATTGACTAAGAAAATTCCTTACAACTGGATCTCATCGAGGCATTTCCACAACTGAGGCTCCTTCCTCTCTGATGACTCTAGCTTGTGTCAACTTCTCATAAAACCAGACATGACGGTAGATACTTCTCTTTGGTGATGCAATGGATTGGGAGACTTGACTGGGCTTTGGCTATCTATAGCTGCAGTAAAAAGACAGGGTTCTTGTGATATGAAATGGCTCTTGTGGGTAACTGATCTCCCACAAGGACAGCACTGTTTTCTAGGCCCTAGCCCCATGGAGCACCCCATGCCTACCCTCACCCCCATCACAGCCACAGCAACTGGTCAGCAGGTAAGGGTACTCTGGGCATGCCATTCCACCACCTCTGACACCCATTGGATTATGCAAACTTCAAGTCCCACTCTGCCTCACAAACCCACAGAAACCATAATCCTTTCCACACCCAACCATCCCCTGTGGCATCATCAACCCCGGAGATACAGGTACCACCTACAGCAATTGGAGGAAGAAGTGAGTGACTATTCTCCCTGCTGGACAGCCCTGTTCTCTAGGCCCTAGGCCCCTGAGAATACCCAATGCCCATCCCCCTCCCATTGCAGCCCCATAAGCTGGTCAACAGCTAAGAGTCCTGCAAGCAGGCCACTCCACCAATATCCCAACACCCATTGGACACTGCAAACTGTAAGTCCCACTCCACCCCAAAATCCACAGTACCCATCATCCTTCCCACACACAACCATCTTCCATGGCATCAGTGGTCCCTGAAGACACAGACTCCACCTACACTGATTGGAATAAGAGCCCCAGCAGTCAGTCAGCAGAGTTCCCTGTAAGCACAGGGACCACGTACATCTATTAGGGGAAGACAACAGGGTAAGAATACACTCAACAACATAAAGAACAATATGCCACCACCAGAACCTAGTGGTTCTACAACATTAGATCTGAATATCCCAAAGTAGAAAGAGCAGAAGAAAACACCCTTAAAAATAACTTTATGAAGATGATAGAAGCCCTTAAAGAGGAAATAAAAAAATCCCTTAAAGAAATCAAGCAAAAGACAAAAAAAATTGGAAGAAATCAATAAACCCCTTAAAGAAAGCCAAGACAACCAAGAAAAAAAATCAAAAAAGTGAAGGAAACAGTTCAAGACTTTAAAATTGAAATAGAGGCAGTAGAGAAAACACAAACTGAGAGATTTATAGAACTACAGACACAAGCATAACCAACAGAATATAGCAGATGGAAGAGAGAATCTCGGGTGTTGAAGATACTATAAAGAAAATATATTCAGCAGTCAAAGAAAATCCTAAATCCAACAATGTCTTAGCAAAAAACTGGAAATCTGGAACACCATGAAGAGATCAAACATAAGAATAATAGGGATGGAAGGACAAGAATACCAGCTCAAAAGCACAGAAAATATATTCAACAAAATCATAGAAGAAAAATTTCCCAACCTAAAGAAGTAAATGACTAGGAAAATACAAAAAGCTTATAGAACACCAAATAGACTGGACCAAAAAACAAAAAAGTCCCCTTGCCACATAATAATCAAATTATTAAACATATAGAATAAAGAAAGAATATTAAGAACTGTGAAGGAAAAAGGCCAAGTAACATAAAGCAGACCTGTCAGAATAACACCCAATTTCTCAAAGAGACTCTGAAAATCAGAAGGTCCTGGGCAGATGTTATGAAGACACTA